CACCGAGCGTGGGCGGTGTACAGCGCCGTGAACTCGATTTTGGAGTGTTTTAATAGAAAACCTCAATGTTTACAGTTGGTGTTGCCGTTTCCCGACTGCCAGCCCTTTTATCCACCATCTCCAGGTAGAAAATCCGTGCTGCCAGCGCCGTGCCTTGGCAGCTGGGCTGTGCTCATGGACACTCGGAGCCTGCTGTCGCCTTCATCCTCCCCTCGCTGCGGCTCTGCCCGGCTCCATCCCCGCCTGGCGCAGCCCTTCCCCTGTTCTTTGTTCCTAATGGGACCCTGAGGCTTTGCTAACCCAGATTCCAGAGCGAGGCGGGAGGAGCCTGGCTGGAAATCAGAGCCTCTGCACCCCTGAAGCAGCGTTTGCCACCCTCTCCTTGCGGGTTGCGTTCTGGTTCTCTTGGTTTCGGCACCCTGTGGGTTTGGAGAGGTCTCCTGCCATCGGGGCTCTTCGGATCTTACATCTTGTGCTGCTTTGTCTGCTCCCTGCACTGCCCGTCCAATTCTCCCTTCATTCCTGTTCAGACATTTCAAATACATGGATTTTTTTTTTTTGTTTTGTTTCATAATTTTCGTTTCTTTCTTAAAAATGCATCCTTTGAGCTCCAGAAGGGTTGTCCAGGGTGATTGGAGCTTATCAATCAAAGGCAAACCTGAAGGAAATTCACTGATAACCCCTGAGGTGCGCAAGCACAGCGTGGGGCTCTCCCACAAATGCTGCAAACAGGGAGGGTTTCAATGTTTTATTTCTTTTCTTATCTCCCTTGCCCATACCCCTCCGTCTGATGCAGAGTTCTTGGAAGTGGGGGACAATATTCTTCATCCTTTGTCTTCCTAAAGCTGCACTGAAAATAGAAGCTCCTCTCTGCAGGTTGCAAAGCCCCATTGAGCTGCCAGCTGTACAGTGGAAACTTCCCCAAGATGTTCGTGGTGCCTGTGCCTGGGCATGTCATCTGCTACAGAGCCTCCTGCTCCAGAGCTGTGCTGAGCTGGCTTCTTCCAGGGTGAAATGCTGCTGAAACCTCAGCTTTTTAAAGGGAGCCTTTTCTAAAGGCTCTGCAGGATGCTCAGGAATGTTGCAGGTGTAAAAAGAAATTGTGAGTAGCTGGGAAAGTGCTGATCGGGCAGCCCTGGCAGGTCCAGCTTTAACACACAGCCACAATTTATTACATTAAAAAGTGACAGGACCCTGCAAGGATCTTGTCCCCACTGGAAATTGGTGGGAAGCTGGTGGGATCCTCTGTGTGTCCCCCACTTTCAGTGTCAGGGGAGGCTGGAATGACCCTAGGGCTTGGTCAGCCTTGATGTGGGACAACACCCAAGTGCAGGAGGGGGGACATGGGGATATTTCCCTGCTGTGCTAGAAATGCAGTTCCCTCTAGGTCAGGCATGTATCACCAGGGCTAAATTTACTTCAAAATATTACTGAAGTGGGGAGGTTTGTGACTCAGGTCTATAAAAGCATGCAGTGCTTATGTAAAGAAATAAGTTTGGAAGGAGGCAGGAGAGGGCTTGGGCTCCAGCAGGGACCATTCCTGGTGTGTGTCTGCCCTCTCTGCACAAATAGGTCTTTGTACTGGGAGCAACTGCACCTCCAGCTTGTGTGTTCCATACAGCAGGATCTGCTGGCCAGCTCTTCCTGTGTTTCCAAACATTTCAGCAAATGTAAATAATTTCCAAGCCTACGCTTTGGCTTAGGTGAAATTGTTTTAAAATAAAAACCAACAAACACAGTGGGATGAGCAGTTCTTGTAACAGTTCAGGGTGATTTCAGATCGAGCTGTGCCACCCTGGGAGGGCAAAGGAGGGATTCTGCTGTGGGGATTTTGGAATTTGGATCCTTTCCATTCACTCAGGTGTGTGTGTGTGTGTCTTGGGAAGCCTGAGTTCCTGGAGCCAGCTTTGCCATGGCAGGCAGGCAGGGTTGCCCATCCTGCAGCACCACCAGCATCCTCAGGTCGAACCACAGCCACAGCCCAGGGGAATGAGCCTCTCCCACTCCTGCTGAGGAAATGGGGCTCCTTAGCTCAGCAGCCAAGCTCCTTCTGCAGCCCCTGGGAGGTGAGTGCTGCTGGTCTGGGAGTTCTGGGCAAAGGAAGAAGAGCTGTTAACTCATTTTTTAAGACAATTCAGCTTATACCCACTCTGTTTTGCAGTCAAAAATCAAAGTAGAAATAGAGCATTGCTTTAAGACAGGAGCTTCTTTTGTTTTCCTGCTGTTTGCTGCATACCTGGGCCAGCTGCTCCAGACCAGTGAGGAATTACAGCACAGGGTGTCAGGGACTGGCCTGTTTTTCTGCCCATCAGGAGCTGATGAAATGATCCATCTGCATTGATCCTTGCTGGGAAGGAGGACAAAGCAAGGGTTTTATGAAATTGTGCCTGAGATCAAATAATTGATAGAAAAGGCTTTGGAATCCTCAGGCTGTAATTAAACATTTCCAGGAGGCAGGGAGGTGCAGTGAGCTCAGCAGAAGGAGCATTTTGCTGGGAAGTCTTTGCTTTGCTTCATGCTGTGTGCTATTAAAGCAAACAACTTCACAAGCTTCAGAAGCACTGGCAGCTCTTGACCAAGAATAGCATCTCACATCACAGCTAAGCTGGAAACAATGAGGGCCAGCAGTTGTCAGTTGGTTGGGCTTTTTTAGCCCATAAACGAGGTAGCTGAGCTCATGGAGAAATCCCCATTTCTCTATTTTAGGTGTTCTGAGAGGTTTCATCTTCTGAAGGATCCAGCAATAAAGAAAAAGCCCTGATTTAAAGCAGATCTGCTGCTGCAATTCCCACTCACCTGGGCACACCAGGCTCTCCTCCAACACACAAACCCGAAATCCTCACCACCTAACCCAAGCTTGTGCAAAGTCTACCAAACTTGTCTGACTAAAGAATTCCTCTGAGATGTCACAGAAACATCCACCATGTGGGATCTTGTGGAATCCCCAGCCCTGGGAGCCTCAAAGGCACAAAGAGGTGGCACCTGGGGACGTGGTGAGCGTGGCAGGGCTGGGCTGGAGGATCTCAGAGGGGTTGGGTTGGGTGATCTCAGAGGGGTTGGAGGATCTCAGAAGAGTTGGGTTGGAGGATCTCAGAGGGGTTGGAGGATCTCAGAAGGGTTGGATTGGAGGATCTCAGAGGTGTTGGGTGGTCTCAGAGGGGCTGGATGGTCTCCAGAGGGGCTGGATGGTCTCTGAGGGGCTGGATGGTCTCCAGAGGGGTTCTCCAGCCCCTCTGATTCCATGCAGAGCTGGATTCCTGGTCCAGGGGCTCTGTGGGGATGTGGAGCTGGGGCTGTGTCATTCCCACTGTGTTTGCTGGGGAGCAGGGACAGCTTTGGGCTGGGTGCAAGATGCAGAGCTGCAGAACAGCTCCTGTCTGAAAAGGAGAGGCTGGATCTGGGTAGGGAAATAGGGAGATGGAGCCTTTCAGCACCCTCACAAAGACAAATTCAATTTTTCTCTGCTCTTTTGTTGTTATCTACCAGGAGTGTGTTTCGTGAGCTGCTTCAAATATTGAAGATGTCCATAATACATCCTAATTTCATATTTTTCAAATCTTTGCAGCTAAGAAGCTGTTCTGTGAGCAGGGAGAATTTGGGGTGCAATTTTTCATTTTGGCCCTATGCTGGGGGTTGCCCCTCTGCACACCAGAGCCAGGATGTTCATGTACTGCTCATCTCTGCAGCCCTGAGCTCTCCCCCCGTGGCTGCTGAGCCCAGGGCTCCATCACCTCCCCAATGACTTCCTGAGAGGCTCTGAGAGAGCCCAAGGAATCCCTGAGCTGCTCATTCCCAACAGCAGCCAGCATTAGGAGCCATAGAGAAAATGGAAATGTTCTCCCTGTGTTTTTAATTCCGAGCTCCTGACTGGAACAAAGTCATGGAAACCAGTTGAGGAACTGGTGGCCAATTTTCTGTCCTCTGCCTGAACCCCAAATTCATTCAGATTCATCAGAGAAGAGAAACCCAGGGAGGTGAAGGGAGAGCCCAGAGTGCTCAGCAGAGAACGTAAGCAACGTGGAAATTGGACATGAACCTCCTGCTGTTCCTGTGTGGATCTATTATACATGAGCCCATCAGAGCAGGGTATTAATAAAACAGGAGCTGAAGAACTCAGCTCTGCCTTGTTCCAGTGAAACATCAGAGCCCAGGCTGCCCTTTGAAGTCTGGGGCTGCAGCTGGTGACATGGTCAGGGTGCTCGGGGGAATCTCAGCACTGGAGGGGAATCTCTGCCCAGCCTGGGGGTTTCTGTGTGATTCAAATCCTCCTCCAATCCTCCTCCTCATCCCCCCCTCCAGGACAAAGCCATTCCTTTTTTTTTTTCCTTTTTTTTTTTTTTCCCTTTTTTTCCCTGCTCAGCCTTCTGGCTTGCTGAATGCTTTCAGCAATGCACAAAGAAGGCTGGAGATGGTTTAAAGCAGCCTCAGACTCCTGTGCTGGGATGCAAATGGCTTCTGTTCCTTCAAAGTTCTCCCCACCAAGAGCTCCCTGTGCCTTTTGTTGCTCGCAGGTGCCACCAACCCAAACCCTCTTTGCTTTGCTGAATCACGGGCAGTAACTCACACTGGGCTTTCTGAATATCTGCATTTCGTGTCTCCACCAGGACAGATAAATGTGGCCCTTCAGAGCTGCCCTGCAGCCCCAGCTGTGCAGACAGGGATGCCCCTGGGTGGGGAGATGCTGAGGAGCAGAGGCTTTGTGCAAGCCCAGCCTTGGTGTAAAACAGGAGTAGCTGCAGTGTGGTGTCAGCTTGGCCCTGCATGGGTGAGTGATGAGCCCTGGCTGCTGGCCCTGGCAGGTTTGAGCAGCTGCTCTCTGGGCTCAGAGCATCAAGAGCCCTGGTTCAGGGGCTCTTACAAGGGGAGACTGTTTGCCTGCACAGATTATTTGCAACCCACTGCACCCAAAATACCAACTGGTTGCTCTCAGAGTGTGAAGCAATCACTGAATGAGTAGCTTGGATTATTTTTTTTTTCCTCATTTAGACAGAAGAAACCAGTTCAGCTTTGACCATGCATGTTACATTTTAATTTTTTTTTTTTTCTCATGCCAAGAAATACAAAGAAAGTATATAAGATATACCATACCATCCTGCAGAAAAAGAAACATTTGTCAGCAAAGAGAAGCACCCAGCTGCAATTCCTGCTGTGGTCATGCTGTGTGTGAGCTGTGGCTCTCCCAGTGGGGGGATGGACCCTGCACTTCCCTGCCAAGGATCAAACCCTGGCACCTTCCAAGGGCTCCCAGGTGGTGCCAGGGCTGCCCTGGTGAATCCTGCACACGTTCCCTTTCTGATGTTTCTTACCCTGGATGGGCATTTAGAGGTTGGGATTTTGCTACCTACTGGTGTCAGCAAATGCTTTCCAAATATTCCCACTTTGAAAAGGCTGCTATCCCCCCACACCCCTGGGACTGTGCCCAAGCAGGGGAGGTTTTCAGTCCAAACCTGACTGGTTTTTGCCAAAATTAAAGGCTGTATACTGAAAGGAAAACGAGCTTAAATCGGAATAATTTCAGCTTGCAGGGCAACCCTGGCTGCGGCTCCGTGACAGTAACAAAGCAGGGCAAGGGTGGGGCCAGCCCAGCGGGTGCAGCCTCTCCCCGGGCTCGGAGGGAACAGAAACGGAGATTCCATTCAATAGAAAAGGCAGGACCTGCTCCCCTTGTCTGCATGGAGAAATCTGTGTGGGCTGGAGGGGGCTCAGAGCTCCCTGAGCCCTCCCTGAGCCCAGAGGTGAGAGCTCATTGCAGCAGGACCTGTCTGGGTGACAGGAGGGGCAGGGAGAGCTGAGGGGCTCAGCAGAGCTCTGGGGATGGGGATGCTGAGGGGACAACGTGGTAAAACCACGAGGGGAAACTGGAACAGGGTGAAACACCAGCCAGAAAAAAGCAAATCCATCCTTAAACAGCAAATTCGGGGGTGGGATGCTGAGGGCCGGCGTGGTAAAACCAGCAAAGAGCAGGGACAGAGCAGGAAACTGGAACAGGGTGAAACACCAGCCAGAAAAAGCAAACCCATCCCAACACAGCCAACTCTGAGGTCCTTTGGTGGCTTTGTTTCCCCTGGTGGGGCTCAGATCCCTCTGGTGCCTGCAGGGCTCTGCTGTGACCCCACTGACTCAGGCCAGACCCTCCCTGACCCTGGCTCACTGGGGCTGCTGCAAAACCAAGAGAAGTTTGTGGCTGGTTCAGCTTAAAGCTTCAATCCAGCCCTGATGCAGCTCTTCTGTGGCACCCCATGAGCCCAGCTCTGCCCCAAAGCCTGGCAGAGAAGCCCAGGGAGGTGCCAGCAGCCCCATGCTCTGCTGGGAGGATCCTTCCCCTGGATCTCCATTCTTTCCAATCCTTCCCCTGGGTCTCCATTCTTTCCAGTCCTTCCCCTGGATCCCCATTTTTTCCAATCCTTCCCCTGGATCTCCATTCTTTCCAATCCTTCCCCTGGATCCCCATTTTTTCCAATCTTTCCCCTGGATTTCCATTCTTTCCAATCCTTCCTCTGGATTTCCATTCTTTCCAATCTTTCCCCTGGATTTCCATTCTTTCCAATCCTTCCCCTGGATTTCCATTCTTTCCAATCCTTCCCTTGGATTTCCATTTTTCCCAATCCTTCCCCTGGATTTCCATTCTTTCCAGTCCTTCCCCTGGATCTCCATTTTTTCCAATCCTTCCCCTGGATTTCCATCCCACCAGGACCTGACCCTTGATGGTGACTCCCACTCCAGCTCACATTTAGAGACATTTCCCATCTTCTCCACCCCTTCAGAGCTCTCCCCCTACCAGCTCAGCTTCCCTGGGCTGGGTTGTCACCCTGCTCTCACCTTTCCTTCACCAGGGAGGGGAATTTGGCCAGGATTTTGTGCCTGTTTTAGCTGTAACCCTGCCCAGGTGAGGGCTGGGGGCTCTGCAGCCCCCTCCTTCACAAATATGAGCAAATTCCTCCCAAAAAGAGCCAAAGAGGGAGCTGGGCTGGGATAAAACCCTGGAAAGCAAAGTGGCAAAAACTTTGCAAAACAGGCTGCAAAATGTGTGGAGAAGGTGGTGGGGGAGCAGGGAAGGGACTTTGTGGCTGCCCCTGGAGTTTATTCCTCCAGCACTGCAGGGGCAGGTTACAAGCAGAGTAAATATTTTGTCAGGGATAACTGTAGAGGCTTTCCTCTGGATTTAAATGCAGGATAAGAAGAAGAAGAAAAAAAAGCTGAGTTCAAGGGTGTAATACAATTGTGTCTAGTCAGGAAGATTTTAGAATGAAAGGGATTTAAGTGTCAAAGTTCTTCTCTTTTGTTAGACTTAACAGCGAGGTGAGAAGCACCACCTGAGCTGTCCAACGAGGCAGGAGGCACAAACAAATCATCAAATCATCAAATCATCACCCTGGGGTTTTTGGGGAAATCTTCTGCCTCCTCCTGCGTCCAGGGGAATCCTGGTGCCTCCACTGCTCTGTGCTGCCCTGGCCTGGGATGGTCCTGGCAGGAGCAGCTGCCCACAAACCCCCTCCCTCCTCTGGCTGCAGAATCCCATTGGAACCAGAGTTTGTTTAGATCCCACTGGAAAAAAAAAAAACCAAAAAACCAGATTCCAAGGAAATCTGTGTTCATAGATGGTTCTGCTAAGGAGGAGGAAGGAAAGGGGGTGGGTTTGGGAGCTGCTCAGTGCCTGAGCATTTGCCATCCCTGCAATTAGAGCAGTAATGTGAACCCACCTCCTGGGGGGTGGCAGGGTTTAATCCTTTGGATGCAGGGAAGCACTTTAGATGAAAGGCTTTATAAAATGATAAAAGAGCATTTAAATCCTTACTTAATAAATGCTCAGGGCTCTCAAGTCCTAGAACTGCCTCCAGCACTTTTCCCTGAAAAAAGGGCCCTTCCTGCCCAAGGAGGAGCTTCCTGGGCTCTTCCCATCAGCTGAATTCCAGCAGCTCCAGGGGCAGAGGGCAGGGAATCAGGGACAGGCAGCACTGCCCTTATGTAGCTCCAAAAAACCCCCACATGTTCCCCAGCAAGCAGCTTTTGAGTCCAAGAGTTAAAGAAGGAAAGATTTGGGGGGTTTGATGGGATTTCAATAGCCATAAAATGAAAGTTTGACCGTCCAAGGGAGGGTTTCTGAAGGGCTCAGGGGGAAAAGAGGCAGCTCCTGGACAGAGGGTGGAGGAGGGAGCTCCCACCCAGCAATGCTCAGCAGTCCCTGTTTGCTGAACTCACAAAAGATAAATTGCAAAAGAAAAGTTGCAGATTTGGTCCATTTTCGATGCCAGCAGTTTGTGATGGAGTGCTGGCAAAGGGGTGGATGGGAATGGAGCCCAAGAAAGTGCTGTAGTGATGTGCTATTGCTGTGAGCCCCTGGCATCCCTTTCAGTGGAGAGAAAAATGTTGACAGCGTGTCTGGGGGATTTGGCTTCCTCACCCCCTGCATTCAAACAACATCTACAGGAAAAAAAACCACTTGAAAGAGGAGCAATCGAGAAGGTGACAGGAGAATTTTCACAGAGATGCCTGTGGCTTTGCACATTAGTTACTACAGAGTAACTACAGCGTGGATTTACACCCCACCCCTGCCCTGTGCTGAGCCATGTGCCCACTCAGGGCCCGGGGCAGGAGGCAGTGCCAAGCAGTTACCACGTTGTGAGGTTTCTTTTGGTGGATTCTCCATGTAGACAAGCCCTGGGAAGCATTGAATTTGCTCTAAATTTGGGGTGTTTTTCAGGAGATGGGTGTTAGGGAGCAGAAATGCCCTGCAGGACAGCATTTCTCAGTCAGTCCATGCTCTCAGGTCACAGGTTGTGACACAACAGAAGGGTCGGGCAGTGCAGCTCTTGGTCGTGTGTCCCCAAAGTTTGGATCAAAGAGACTCAGGGAGCCAATGGACGTGGCCAGAAGTCACCAAGCCTGGCTGAAACAACAGGCAATGGAGCTTTGCATAGTCTGGGTGGGTGGGTGGGTAGAGGGCCAACCCCAGGGAGTCCCCACAGCAGTGAGGAGAGGGGCTGGGGCTGGATGGAGCCTCCAGGGGGATTGGATTGGGTGCCACAGGGATGGGCTGAGGGAGCCAGGTGCTGTGGAAGACATGGCAGGGCCTGTGGTACCTACAGACAGAGTGGGAGGAGCAGAGTCTGTTTTCCTGTTGTGGTAAATACAAAACATTAAAAAATAATACAACAACTCCTGGAACTGCCCCCAGGCAGCTCCGGGGACACCGGAGATTTTCAGAGCTGTGCGAGGGGTGCAAGGAGAGGAGCAGGAGTCTAAAACTCCTCCATGCCCCTGAAAATCTCCTGGAAGGCCCTAAGCTGAAGCCCCAGAGGGTTGGGGGGTGAGCACTGGCAGTGCTGGGGGCTGGATCACGCTGAAGCCTCTGCGTGCCGTGGCATCAGGGGGCGAGTGGGTAGAAGGGGCTCTCCGTGCCCTGGTGCTGCTGCTGGGCATCAACCAGGCTCTTGTCTCAGTGCCAGGGGTGCCAACCTCCCTCTGGGTGCACAGAGAAATGTGGGGGTTCACAGGGAACGCCTGATTTTGCCTTCCTTTAAAAAGCCCACCTTGGGATGGGGGTGAGGAGGAGTCCGGGGTTCTCATGCAGCAACATCCTCCTCTGCCAGCTCTGAGATCTGCCCTAAGTGATAAAAGAGCTCGTAGGAACAGACATGGAGAACATTCCCAAAGGCATGCAAATGGTCATTGTCTCTTTTTTTTTCTTTTTTTTCTTTTTTTTTTTTTCATCAAAAATACAAAAGCACCCACCACATCCTCCAGCTTTGGCGGCTGCGTTTCGTTCGGAGCAGAGCCGTGGTCCTGCTGCAGCTCTGCTCTCCCTCCTCCTCCTCCCTGGAACAGCTCTCAGCTCCTGATGGCAGTTTGAGCTTTGTTTTTGTTGTTTTGTTTTGGTTTTTTTTTTTTTTTTTTTGTAGAGACAGAGAATTCGACGATTTAAAAACCAACAACCCCCCAAAAAATCCAGTGACTTGTGCCAAAATTCTCAGGAGGACTCCTCAAAAACGTCCCGTTCTCGCCTTGTGTTTTCCTTCCAAAACCAGCTTCCTTCTGGAGACTCTCTCCTCCTCTTGCACGAATGAGGTAGTGGATTTCCCCCTTCTCCTCTCCTCTCCTCAGTGGCCTCTCCCATTGCTCCTCAGGGTGATTTTGATCCCGTCCCTGGCCCAGGCTCATTCCCAGGAGGCGGTGAATTGACGCATGCGTTCCTTCCGACGGCGCTCCAGAGCAGACTGTCTAGGGCTGCCCACCTACACTGTGACAATTTTTTTTTGTTTTGTTGCAAGGCTGAAAGTAAAAACCCCAAAAGGAAAGTTGTCTTCCTCCTCTTCAAGGTATTTGCATGCTGAAACGTCTTCTAGGAAGCTGTAAAAGAAAGAGCGGCTTAGGGCAGCTTCCAGCAGGCAGCAGACGCTCCCCTTACTCTCCTTCTGGGTGTTTCTGAGGTCCCTTTTTGCCTGAGCTGTGCTGATCATGCTGTGTTTGGGAGGTTCCCAAAACATTTTGGGATTGTATTTCTGGGCAGGTTGATTTGTGTCCTGAAACCTTTCTGTTTTTACAGCACTCCACTCTTCTAAACCCAACCACAGGCTTTGCCTTTCACCAGGGAGACCTTGTGTGGTCACCAGGGCACTTTGTACAGCACAGGGGGGGCTTTCCATGCTGGCCATTTGGGCAATGTGTGTTTCTACTGGAAGGAGCCCATTCTCTGAGGTGTTTTTTACATGTTTGAGCAGCTGGTGATGGCCAAACCAAGCTGGAGTCAGCGCCCTCCCACTGCACCCAGGCTGGGAATGAGGGGCAGGTCTGTCCTATGCCCTGGGCTGGAGCTGGGAGCCAGGTGAGGCTCCTGCTGGAGCTGGGCTGAGGGAAGGAGAGGGAAGGGTTACCTCCAATGCTGAGTGAAATGTAGAGCACGATGATGATGGTCCCCAGCACGATGGAGACGATGCTGAGCAGCCTGGCCATGCGTCCGAGCCGCCGGGCGCCGTCCGTGTCCCCCTGCTGGCCACTGTTCCTCGACTGGGGAGACACAAAAAGAGTCCCTTGAGAGGGGCAGCAGCTCCAGGGGTGACTCCCTGGCTGCAGAACCCCAAACTGAGCCCCATTTTCTTTCCTGCTCCTTTAATTGGCAATCACTTGGTTCCCGAGCAAAGAAAAATGAGGATTCCTGGTGAGGGAGAAGCATCACTGCTGGGGGCAGGGCCTCCTGCTCCTGCTGGAAAGGATCTCCTGGGCACCCTGCCCTTGGCTGGGGCAGCACCCAGCACTTAGCAGAAGGGCAGCTGTGAGAGGGTTTGTGGTGGAATTACTCACCGTGCGTCAGCATTTGCTGCCAGCCCGGCCCGTGGGACCAAAAAGCCTCCCCAGATTTGTGCAGTGCCCTCCTGCCACCCCCAAAACCCATTGGGAAGGGGGTTTGGAGGGAGGAAAAGTGGGTGAGGGGATTTAAAGCCTCTTGGTGACGTTTTCACCTGGTTGGGAAAGCTTGGAGTGAGGGGAAAGGGAAGCAAGGTGGGACAGGGAGAGAAGGGAGCCCAGCATCCTTGGTCCAGTGGAGGAGTTGGGCAAAACCTCCCAAACTTCACTGGGAGCAGGGTTTTATTGATGATTTAACTGCTTTGAAGCAGATATTCCTCCTTTGGGGCTGCTTTCATGTATGTAACACTTTGACATGGGTTAAAGGCTTCTTCCCCTGGCCCATCCATCTCCAGCCAAGCTGCCTTGGAGGAGAACAGGGGGGTCTGGGGCAGGCTGTGGGGCAGCAGCTCCACAGCCCTGTGTGACAGCTCCTCCCTTTGGAGCATGGCTGCTAAAACTGGGGAAATTCTCCATTAAAAAAAAAACCAAAAACAAGTGTACTAGTTAAAATGAGTTAAAGGTGGAAGTGGATTAAGGCAACCCCAGTTTCTTTTCAAAAAATGTGTATTAGAAATAGCTGTGATGGAAATGATCTCCTGCCTCGTGTTAAATAAAAATAACAAGAGCAGGGAGGTCCAGGCCAGCTCCAGTAATAATCATAAAACATCACAGAGAATCTGAACCAATACTTGATGTTGCTGCCCCATTTCCCATTCATCCTGCTTTAATTCTTCTGCCTCTTGGCAGCACCAAAACATCCCCAGCCCAGGCTGTGCATGGGCAGCTGCTCCGTAGGAAAAACACAGCTTTGGAGGTTTCCATGTGCTCCTCTGAGTTTGTATCACCACGAAAATAACACAGCAGAGCCTCAGACAGGGGGGTGGCTGCTTCCTCTGCCCCCCTGCCCACGTCCTGCCCCGCTCGGGAGCCACCCTGGGCATCGCTGTCCCCAGCAGTGACACAGGAGTGCTCAGGACCTTGCTCCTCCTGCTCTCACCAGCAGCTCTGCCAGACCCACTCTGGAAGCAAAGGGATGCAGCCAAGAGCTATTTTCATCCCAGAACAGGAGGTGACAAAATGAAGCCTCATGGGTTGGTGGTGAGAGATGGGGAGGATGCAGGAGCCCAGGATCCCTGCCCTGCTCACTGACAGCTCCAGCTCTGGGGATTTCAATTTTCAGTCTCTGATTTTTGTAACAAATTTTGCAACAATATTTTGGCGGGGTGTGGGTTAGATTGCAAATATGCAATCTAAAAAAAAAAATATGCAGTTTTAGCTGTCTTCCAGGCAAAATTCAATATATATATTTATCACTACAGCTTCTGGAAGTGATTACTGCTCATTTATCCTCAACAATTATGAGAAACACATCAGCATTGGCATGGGGTGTTTAGCAAGAATTTGGTACTGTACATATATTATTAATCAGAATGGAACAGTTTGATTATAGCTCTCTAGTATCACTAATCCCCTGTTTTGCTTTCCACATAAAAACATTAACATCTTGTTTATTAATCGAGGCTCACCAAGGCAGAACATCTCCAAAAAGCTCGAGGGCTCTGGGGGAGTGAATCACTGTGTGAGTGCCAGGGGACTCCCTGCTCCAGCCCAGAGCTGGAAAATCTGCAGGTGCTGGGGAGTGGGTGCTGCTCTGCAGCCCCTGTGGGCCAGGTGAGGCTGGGTGGCTCAGGAGTTATTCATTTCACCTGTTTCCCACTGCTGTCTGTTCCTGTTACTGCCCAAAATGGGTTTTTTCCCTAAGTGGCCTTGTTGCAAATGAAGGCAATTACTTTCCTGTGCTAGTCCCAGGGATGGGGAAGACAAATCATCCCATCCTCTTCCCTGCAGTCCTTCCCAATTGATGAACTGGCTTTGGATGCTCTTTGCCGTCGTCCACCAATTACCCAGAATAAATCATTAATCCTGGACACTTGGTGTTTTTGTTGAAGGAAACATTCCAAGAGAGGCATCAGTCAACTCCAGAGTGAGGCAGATGACTGTGATGGGTGAGGACAGTCTGACTTCTCCCACATCTTCTGACAATGACAGAATTTATTTTGGATACCAAGTGCTGTGCAGAAGTGCCCTTGATGTTACTACATCGTGGTTCTGGCTGGATTTTTTCATTTTCCTTCATTTATTTGAAGTTTTGGGCTCTGGGATGTGGCTCCTCTGCTTCTTTCCCCGAGGTGGCTGCACTTTGGTGGGAAGAGGAAAGGATTCAGGGCAGGAATGCAGGGTGGGTGTGTGGTAGCCAGCCTTGCCCTGCATCCAGGGCATGGACACATGCTTGTCCACCAGTCCCACTCCCTCTCTTGGGGAGTGACCTGAACCCTTTAGAGCAGCCAGATCATCACTTGGTGAGAAAAACACATCCAAGAGTCTGTGGAGAAGCCTCCAGGTAATTAATTTCCATGAAATCAGTGTTAGCAGGGGCAGGCTGGGGGTGGGGGGGTAGAGCAGGGTTTTTTTCCACCTCTGGCCATAGGCCCCTGTTGGGATCTGAGAGCAGCTTTTGAAAAATGATTTATGAGACACTAAGCTCAAAAGCATTCATTTACTTTCCTCTCTGGACGCTGCTTATTACCCAGAAAAAAAAAAAAAAAAAAAAAAAAAAAAAAAAAAAAAAAAAAAAAAAAGCTTTCATGTGCAAAAGCTTTGACTGAGGAAAGAAAAGAAGCACAATTGCGGAGGTAAAGGAATGTCAGCACATTGTGGAAAGGTCCTCCTGGTTCCCCAGGCAATGGGAATCACAAAAACCTGGTTCCTGCTCAGATCTGGGCATGATCAGGCACACCTGGGCTTTACTCTGAGAGAAAACCTGAGCCAGGGGAGTCACTGGGAGCTCAGTTCCTCCCTGCTGCAAGCAGGTGAAACATCAACCCGTGCCCTGAGAGCTGCTCCAGATGTTCCCTGGTTCCTCAGGGAGGATGGATCCCTCCTCATCCTCAGCCAGGTCCCTGGCTGGCAGGTGGGTGTGATGGTGCAGGACTAGAGAGGGCTGGAATGAATTAACCCACAGGACAGAGGATGTGCAGTGGCTGCTGGTGTGCTCTGTGTGCCATTAAGCTCATCCTCAGCTGAATGCACCTCCTGCCCCCCTTCCCCAGCTCTGGGTGAGCCCTGGGCAACGCTGCCAGTGCCCTTGGGAGCAGAGGGCAGCCCAACAGCCTCATTGCCTTGCTGCTCCTGCCTCCCTTGGGTGTGACAGCCACCACACCCCAGCCCCTCTCAGCCTGGCAGGAAGAACCAGCTCCTGCTCTTTTCCCACTGTTAACTCTCCCCCTGGTGTGGCCCAAGGCCCTGACGCCTGCAAGGGACAGTGTGAGGATCTGTTTTGCATGAAGGCCAACGTGGCTGGCAAATCCCCGTGAGAGCCCTTGTTTATTACCATGGATATGCAACACCCAGCTGCTTTCCCTCTCCTTGCAGTGCAAAGCCAGACGAGGCTGGCTGGCTTCCCTGGCTGCTGCCTGAACAGGCTGTGCCACACAACTGTACTACGCAGATGACAGCTGGCACTGGCAGAAACGATGATTCCTCCTCAAAATGGAAATTGGTCTCCCTAGAGGGCTTTTTGTGGCAAGTGCCCGTGCCTGCCTTCAAGTTGTTGGTGGTTTTTGGGGGGAAGCGCTGGCTGCAGGTGCCCCTCGGTGCATTTCTGTGTGGTAAGCAGGTAATGGAGCTGGTTTTCAAAGAAAAGATTTGCCTTTGTTGCAAATCAAAGGCATAGGAGGTGCTGGGTGTGTACAAGAGAGCAGCATCTGCTGGGGAAGGGGGTGGCTCTGCTTGTAGGGCTGTGCTGGCTGAGCCACCTGTACCCGAGATGGGTGGGAGGCCGGGCTGGCTTCATTCTCCCCTGCTCGGCTCTTGGTGTATTTGCTGAGCTGTGGGGGATGTTTAATGGAGGAAAATTGCTTCTCCGGGGCGACTAAAGGAGCTGCAGGTGCAGCCTGTCCCCTTGAAGTGCCTGAGGCCAGGCAGCAGCCTCCAGCCAGGGTCTCCCCAGTGCTGCAGGGCTGGGCTCGGAGGGGCGGAGGGAGGTCCCTGGTCAGTGCTGCGCCCGCAGCTCCTTCCCGGGGAAGCCCGCGGAGTCCTGGAGCGCTGCCTGGGGACAGGGACCGCGCTTCCCGGAGCCACCGCGCTTCCCGGAGCCCTGCCCTGGAATCCCACCCCCTCTCCATCTCCATCCCGCCGCCTCCTTTTCCATCTCCATCTCCATCCCGCCGCCTCCTTTTCCATCTCCATCTCCTTTTCCATCTCCATCCCGCCGCCTCCCCGAGCGCTGCCCCGGGCTCGGCGCCGCTCCCCGCCCGCCTCCGCCCGCCCGCGCCCCCCGGCCCCGCACCGGAGCGCGCTGCGGGAGCCGAGCGGGGCGGCACAGCCCGGCCGAGCGCTGCGGGAGCGGAGCGGCTCCCGGGGCCGGTGCCGGGGCTGCAGCACCGCGGACAGCTCCGGGGCGGCCGTCGGGGCGGCGGGGGAAGCCGGAGCGAACCGGGCGGGTCCGAGCGCCCGGCGGGTCCCGCACTCACCATGATGGAGAAGACGAGGGCCACGATGTTGATGGGCCAGACGGGGCAGAAGCAGGAGAAGATGGCGAGCACCAGGTAGTCCCGAGGGCGGCCCTGCTCCGGGGCCGCCGTGCTGGTGGCCGTGGACGAGGCTCTGCCCAGGCTCAGCCGGGACGGCGACAGCGGCGGCGCCTCCAGGTGCCCGACCGACACCGACTTGTAGCCGAGCCCGTGCCCGTTGCGCTCCGTCTCGCCGGGCAAGGCAGCCGTGAAGGATTTGGAGCCGCGGAGGCCCTTCTCCTCCCGGCCCTCCGTCGCCGACAGCAGCTTCTCCGTCTCCTGGAAGCGGGTGGGCAGCGCCGTGCCCGAGCCCGGGCCCGGGCCCCCGGGCGCGGAGCCGGTGCTGGCCATGGCCCGGCGGAGCGGAGCGGGCTCCGGCAGCGCCCCGCCGCCGCCGCCGCTCTGCGCTCGGGGCCCGCCGCCCCGCGGGAGGCCGAGCCGGGCTGGCCCCTCCTCCGGCTCGGCCCCCGGGGCAGGATCGGGGCCGCGCACCGCCCCCGGGGTGTCCCCGGCCCCCCCTGCCCTCGCCCCCTTCCCGCGCTCGGCCCCCGCCCGCCCCGCTGCGAGCGGCGCCGCGGCCCCCGGGGACGCTGGCGGGGATGCGGCGGGCGGAGCGCAGAGAGAGCCGGGGAGTCCCCGCCGCCTTCAGCCCGGCCCAGCCCAGGGCTCCGCCCGCCCCACCGACCCCCAGCTCTTCCCAGGGGCTCGCACGGGCTCTGCTCCGCTGCAGCGGGACGGGAGAGCCCAGCCCCGAGCGGGCTCCGCCCGTGCCCACGGGGCTCGGGGCCGCCTCCAGCCCCGGAGGAGCGGGGGGCGCCGAGGGCAGCGCCGTGCGGGGCACACAGAGCCCTGCTGTCCCTGCTGTCTGTCCCTGCTGTCTGTCCCTGCTGTCTGTCCCTGCTGTCTGTCCCTGCTGTCTGTCCCTGCTGCCCCTGCTGGCTGCCAGCCTTTCCGCAGGCAGGTGGGGACATGCGACACGGAGCAGACCCACGAGCCCCTCGTCGCTGCGGAGAGGGGCTGGAGCTGCCCTGGGTCGGGCAGGGCTGCCCGGAGGGGTCTGGGCAGGGTGTGGGTGCCCGTGGCACCTCTGGCTCCAGCAGCTCTGGGAAAGCATCGTCCCCTGGCACAGGGCTGGGAGAGGCTCTGGGCACGCTGTGCTGAGCTCACCCTGCCCTCGCTGTGTGTGGGTGACCGTGGTGACTCCACAGCTGGGGACAGGGACACCAGATCAGTGGCACACCCCGGCCCTACACAGGACCTGCAGAGCAGAAAGGGTGCCTGTGCAGTGTGAGCTCCATCTTCTCCATCCTTGGGAGCAGGGATGATGTGAGGGGTAGGAGGGAGGGCAGGGCTAAAACAACCCTCAGAGCCTGGATGCCCGGAAAAAATGGATGTTTTGCACCCATTGTGTATTATGCTTCAGTTCCAAATTTGCCTGGGGTTTCCCTGGCAGTGAGTGCCATCTACGGGGCACACCCAGCACCTTCTGCCTCCCCGAGAGGTGCCCAAGAGCCTCCTGCCAGCCAGGACCTGCTGCCCAGCCCTGCCTGGAGCCTTATCCCATCCCACAGCCTCCAAACAGAATTAGGAGCCGCAGTTTGAGAATGTGGATCTGAGAGCAGTGGGGTGACCCTGCTCGGGGAGGGTCTCACGGGGTTTTGGTTCCCTTCCACTCCTGCCTCTGGGACCATCTGTTTCCATCTGCTTCACTTGGGCTGACCACCAAAGCTGGTGTGGGAAAAACAGGGAGATGCAAATTCGGGAGGGGGGAGGAGGGTTCCTTCCTGAGTCAGGGAGTCACTGAAACATTCTTTGCATGCTGCTGTTGCTGTGCTCTCACTCCCCTTGTGATGGCTGCTGCCAGGGCAGGGCAGGGCCGTGCTCTGCTCCAGGGAGAGCCCGAGCAGGGAGAGCCACCCAGAGCTGCAGGGAGGAGCAGGATTCCTTCAGAGGATGTGGCTGCCGGCCTTCTTCTGGCGAGGGGAGCACCTGTCCGAGGCTGGAGCCAGGATGCCTCACACCATCAGCACTTCAAAGAAGCTCCTTTGCTGAGCAAAGAGCTCTCTCTCCTGGCTGCCATCAGTTTTCCTCTGCTCCTGGACCAGCTCCCCTGTCCCAGCAGGGATTAAGGAAGGAGGAGGAGATACAGGTACTCAACAGCAGCAGGTTGGGATGGTTGTTCCAGCACGTGTCCCTGGGCAGGGAGAGAGCTCAGGCTGCCCCTGGAATGGTGGGAGCAGAGGGGCTGGAGGAGCTCTGCAGGGCTCAGCACTGTGGGAATCCCACGGTGCAAAATGTCCTGCCCAAAACCCTGCCAGCTGCGGCGTGTGTGGCTGTAAATCCCTGCCTGATTCCTGCAGCAATTCCAGTTTGCTGAGCCTTGGGCAGGAGGGAGCCCTCGAAGCTGGTCCAAGCTCTCCAAGCCAGAGGGAAGGGACAAAAGGGACCTTTTCAGTAAAATTCCCCCTTCCTCTCCTCCACCCGGGAGCGTGCTGTTGGCCCGTCCCAGCAGAGCCACTTCCCTGGCATCAGAAGGAAACCCCAATTGGATGGGTGGGTTTATGAAAGCCGACATCTGTCTCCCCTCCCGGCCTCGCAAATCTGCCAGGCGCAAACGTCTGTACCAATGAGCTTAGCGTCAAAAGTGCCAGGGCAGTAACCTTTGCCTGCTCCTGCTCCCCTCCTTCACCGGCGGCAGCCGCGCCACCCGCCAGCCGGGGGCTTTAGCGTCATCCCCACGGCCCATCTGTCCATCCCACACATATTAACAGCCGCTGCCCTGCTGCTGGGTTTGCAACTCGTGTTTTCTCGCAGAGCAAGCAAGAGGGAATAAATAACAGCGGCGATCAGCAGCAGTGAGACCCCGCGACAAGGAACACGGAGCCGGCACTTCCAGAGGAATTCCCGCCTTCCCGCGGATGGGAGGCACGCAGCGGGGTCCTGTACCGCGTGTCGGGGGCTCTCGGAGCCCGCCAGCACCGCGGCTGAGCTGCGCATCCAGCAGCGCTTCCCTCCCTCACCCTGCGGTCCCTCCGGCTCTCCCCATGTGTCCCTCGGCTCCGTTACCTTCCCGGCCCTGCAGGTCAGTGCGAGGGGAGGCACCGCTGCTGTGCCCAGCCCTGGCAGTAGCCCGGCTGCCAGGGGACAGCCCCGGCCGGGGGCTCTTGCGGGCTGCCCGTGAATCGCTGCTGGCCGGGGTGCGGGATCCCGCCGGAGCCGCAGGCGCGATTCTCCTTGGGGCTCTCGTGGTGATGGAGCTGCCGCTGAGGGGAAAACGCCGCGCTGAGAGGGGACGGAGGGCACCGTGCCCCGGCAGGAACGGGCTCCCAGGGCAGCTGGGGGCGGCTGCCCCTCAGCCCCGGCTCCTGCGCAGGGAGCCCGGCCCGGGCGCGGCACTCGGGGTGGGCGCAGGGCCAGCAGCACCCGGCGCCGCGCAGGGACAGCGACAGAGCCGCGATCCGGTTGATGGCTCGCCGGAGCGTTGCGATTTTAGAGAGCCTTTTGCCACCGAGGTCGTGCTTGAGGGCCAGCCGCAGGGCGTTGAAGGCTTGGTTGTAGTCCAGAATCCTCTTACGCTCCCTGACGTTGGCAGCCATCCTCCTGGCCTTGGAGCGCACCGGCCTGCTCCTCTTCCTCACCTTCGCCCCGTCCTTGTCCCCCGGGCTGGCGTCTGCTCCCTTGCCTTGGGACACCCACAAACTCTGCCTGTAGCACGCCTGGGGTGCGTCCCTCGCGTCCAGCTCCTCCTCGGAGCTGTCGGGCTCCGGCCGCCCTTTCCCCACGGCTGCTCCGGCCATGGCAGCGGCGAGGGGCAGCGGGAGAGGCGCTGCTGCGGTCCTGCCTCCTGAGGGGTGTGGGTGACACTCCTGCAGGGACAGGAATCCGCCCCTAAAAACCTTCAGCGGGGCTCGTCACGTGTCCGCCCCGACCCTCCTCACCTGCGGCAGGTGAGGCACAGGGACAGAGCCCTGCCTGCCCCCTGCTCTGAGCGTGAGGCACCAGCGCTGGGCTGCCCAGGTGGGATGCTGCAGGCCCCCGGGGAAAGCACCTCCACCAAGCACACACTGCTGCAGTGTCTGCTGAGAATTTGGGCACTGCAGGAGCTCCCCCGTGCTGCTCTGCCCTCTCCTCTGCTGGCCAGAGGTGGCTCACCCTGCCACAGGTCACGCCAGGGCTCTCCGCGGTGCTGTGAGGCAGAGAGCCCTGTGGGGCATCACCAGCCTGGCTCTTCCTTCCCCCTGCTCACGGGTCCTGAGCACCTCTGTTATGTCTCAGCTAAGGGGAACTGAGGCACGAAATGGTGCCATTGCTGAGGAAAGCAGCAAGTCTTGTGCTTGGTGCAGAAGACACAGTCCTGGTGAGCTGAGAGCATCCGCGGGGACAGGGGGAGGTGGGTCCTGAGCAGGAGCAGAGGAGCTCTGAGGTGGGTCCTGAGCAGGAGCAGACCCCCGCAGGAATGCGCAGGGCTTGGCACGCCTCTGCCCTGCGGAGCAGGAAGCAGGAATGTGGCAGGGGGGATCAGGGCAGGTGATAAAAGAGCCAAAGTGCTGCCTGCCTCCGGAGCCTTCCGGTCCCTTCCCAGCAGCCTGGGGGCAGAGCTGTCTGGGCCGGCGCTCCCGGGCCTGCCCGGCACTTAACTTGGGGAGGACGGTGCTGAAAGCAGCTCCTTGTTTCCTGCGTCCCGAGCCGGTGGGATGAGGGGCTGGCCAGGTGCAGTAGGTCTGGAGGCCATGGGCAGGGCCAGGTCCCCAACCCCTGAGCAGTGGGGGACAGCCACGTGTGTTTGCACATCATCTCATTAGCGAGCAGTTGCTAAATGCCTTCTTGTGCCAGGGGTAATGCTTTGAAAAATGGCCCAGAAGTGCTTCTGACAAATTGTTGGGGTTGTCTGGTGCAAAAGCAGAGCCCTGGGAGAACATGCCCCTCCCTCCTTGATCCATCCCTTCCTATCTGATCATCCCAGCTCATGTTTGATCAATAACCACAGTTAGTGGGGGGTTATTTGTCTATTGCCCCTCTCCTCTCCTGGCTCTTTGAAGCTGGAGCTAATTTAGGTGCCTCTGCTCCAGGAACCCAATAAATCAGGAGCCAGGGCCTCGGGGACAGGGGAGGATGAGGCAGCAGGACTTCAAAGGCAGGTGAAGCTTGCAAATATCTTCGAGCACTCACCTGTGCTCACTATAACCCCCTTGTTCTCCCCAGCATCCCTCTCACCTCCCAGTCTCTCTCTGCCAGGCATGGAGGCTCCCCAGTCACTGATTTACCCAGTGAGCTCAGCTTGGGAGCCAGGGGGTGTTTGGAACGCTTGAGTGCCAGCAGGACATGGATGTCAGACCCACCTAGAGACGTGCCTGTCTAAAACCCAGCTGAGCAGGACAGATCCCTGCCATGGGGATGTTTTGGCTGGTGTTTGAGCTCAGGAGGGGCAGTCCAGAGCAGACACAGAGCTGGCTGAGCTGGGCACAGAGCCAGTCCCAGCTGGGTGGTGCCAGGGCAGGGGCAGCAGTCCCAAAGCTGTCCCCATCCCACCCACAGCCCCTGGGAGCTCCTGGGGAAGCACTGCCAGGGCTTCTGGGTCTCTGGGCAGCCTTGGCTGTAGGGATGCAGCCCCAGCTCTCAGAAGGGGCAAGGCCAGACCATAAATCACAGAGTGTCTGATGCCACCTGTAATTAGCACATCCCTGGGCCATCCCCACCTCGTCCTGGGCGCTTCCGACCCAGGTGCCCATTACAGGCTGGGAGGTCAGCGGGAACGCCCACCCAGCCCGGCTCCCCCGGCCCCTGCTGATTTATCACCGTGTGCTGGAGAGATTTATGGGCTGAGATGGGGAGCAGAAACGTGTTGTGAGGCTCTGCTGGGCCCGTCTGCCTGACAGATGATGAAAGAGCAGTAATTATCTGTCGCCACACATAGATCAGGCCATTCATGGCCGTCCCCAGCCTCCAGGAAGGGGTTTGGCCCTCGGGCACTCCCCACCTCCCAGCTGTGTCACTCTGGACTGGAGCACTGCTGAGTGCTGGGCACCTGCCCACTGTCACAGCTCTCACGGGTCCCTCATCCCAAAGGGGTGTTTGGGGTGTGCACCCCTGACACTGCTGCTGAGCCTCAGCTCCTGCAGGGAGCCCTGGACTGGCTGCCACATCCATCCAGCAGCCCCAAACTGCTGATGCTTCCATGTGGGAGCTGCTGGAGCCATCTGGGAGCTCACTGGAGGTCAAACCCTGATGGGCTGGGGGGGCTGCCCAGCTCCTGGCACTGTCCCACCACCATCCACCCTCCTTGGGAAGGCGGCACCAGGAGGAATGGATGTGCCAGAGCAAGGCAGGGGAGGGATGAGAGGCGGGACAGGCAGGGAGGTGCCCGTTCCTGGTGACAGGGGGAGGAGGAGGAGGCGGCTCTTGCGACACTGCCCGCGGGCAGATAAATAGGGTGCTTTGTTCCTGCTGGGGCACGGCCAGGTGGCACACGAGACACGGGCTGGTGACTCATCCATGCCCAGGCAGCCACGCTGCAGGGCACAGGAGGAGGCAGGGACGGGCACTGGGAGGCCTGGAGGCGCCTGTGGGTGAGATCCCTGCTCCAGCAGGAGGGAACAGCCCTGCCCTGGCACAGGTCAGAAAGCCACATCCCGTGGGGCAGGAGTGAGCCACGGGCACGTGCTCAAACACAGCACATGCGGCAGGCAGTGGGCAAAAGGCTCACCCGGGCCTTCACAGAATCCCAAAGTTATTCCAGGTAGAAAAGCCCCCCTAATCGAATCCAAATGTTAACCCAGCACTGCCTTGTTACCATTAAACCACTAAATGCCACATCCTTGTTTTTTGAACATTTCCATCACGCTCCTGAGCAGCCTGCTACAAAGTCTGACCATCCACTTTTCCTAATATCCAATTTAAGCCTTGAGGCCATTTTCTGTTGTCCTGTCCCTTGTTCCTTGGGAGTAGAGACAAACCCCCACCAGGTATCACACTTTTCAGGGAATTGTAGGCCTCCCATTGCCCACCACAGGAGCCTGTGCCTGCTGCTCCATGTGCCAGGAATGGCTCATCCATCCTGAGACCAGCAGGCCTGGCAGAGTTTCACTGGCCAGAGGATGAGGATGGGACACACAGAGCTCTGCAGTGAAGGCCAGGGCACGTGGAAGGCAGCTGTGGAAGGCACAGGAGCAACTCCATGTCACAGGAACCTTTAAGGCTCAGTCGTTCCTAGCTCGGGGATCTCCTGGAGCACGTGGGATGGATTCTGGCGTTAATTATCACCTTGTAACTGCCCTGCGCTGCCGGCACCGGGCACTCCCTTACCTACATCCCCGTGCCCGCAGCTCGTCGGGGAGACCCGGAGGGGGTACTAGGAGTCTGTGAGCTGCAGGAGCGCAGCACCCGCGCCCCGCTGCTGTCCCCGTCCCATCCCGTCCCGTCCCCTCCCGTCCCCTCCGCCGCTCCCCGCCCGCTCCCGCCGCAGCCGGGGCCGAGCCGGGGGGCGGTGGCAGCGCTGCCCCCGCCCCGGCGGGGCCGAGCCGAGCCGAGCCGAGGCGGGGCGGGCCGGGGGCGGGCACCGACGTCAGGCCCCGCGGCGGCGGCGGCGGCGGCTTCGGGGGGCGGAAGGCGGCGATACCGGGGGCGGGCGGGTGGGTGGGTAGGGGGAAGCCCGGCTCCAGGGCGGGGGATGGCGGCGGGCGAGGCGGCCCGGGCGGACTTCGCTCGGCACTGGCAGGCGCAGTTCCCGGGGGAGCCGGCGCCCCGCATGGAGCTGGGCTCGGTGCGGGCCATGGAGCGGGAGCTGGAGCGCTGCCGCCGCCACCTGCGCCGCCTGCAGCGGGCGCTGGCCGAGGAGCGCTTCAAGGTGGGGTACCTGGAGGCGGCGCTGGCCCGGGCCCCGCCGCCGCCCGCCGCCCCCCGGCCCGCGGGCAGCTCCCCGGAGGGCGGCAGCGCCGGCAGCTCGGACGCGGAGGACGCTTCCTCGGCAGGTGGGTGAGGGGGAGCCGTCCCCACCCCGCGCCCCCGGGGACCAGGGTGTCCCCAGGGTGTCCCCAGGGTGTCCCCAGCCGGCCCCGCCGCACGCTCAAGGGCGAATGTGCACGGCCGAGGGCATCCCCGGTGCTGCGCTCCTCCCGTGCCGTGCCGTGCCAGGGTAAAGGCAATCCCGAGCCCCTGTGCCATCCGTGCCACCCGGCTGGTGCGGCCCGCGCTGTGACTCGGCACAGGAGCCCCAGCGTGTCCCCAGCACGCAGCCAGAAGCACCCCATGCCGAAACGTAGTAGAGGATGCTCAAAGTCCTTCTGCCATCCCCATGGAACGGCTAATGCCAGCCCTTGTGCAGCCCCTGACCAACCACTAAGGTCACCCCAAGCCTCTGCTCCTCCCTGTCCCACTCCCGGGGACATCCCGTGCCAAGGCCCCGTCCTTGGGTGGGCGAGGAGGGAGGGTGGCTGGCCAGCCCTGCAGCTGCCTCTGGCCAGTCCCCTGCAGCTCTCGCTGATGGCCCAGTGGCCCACGAGCCACCTCTGGGGCCGGGACATTGCACAGGAGTCATTTCCTGGCTCATGGGAACACCTCTGCTCAGGTGACACCCTGTGACCTCCTGCGGGAAAATCCTGGAGGCTCTAAAGCAGAAGCATGCCGGGGTGGTGACACGTCCCGGGGCGTTTTTCTAGGTGGATTGAGGACAATGATGTTTCGCAAGTGCCTGGCTGCGTGGTGGCACTGGAGGCACAGCCAGCTCGCGCTGTCAGCCGTCACACTGTCCTACTTCCAGCGGCCTGGAAGTTGTTATTGCATCAGCATTAAACCCGGTTCA